GGTAAAAGCAGTCTTGCAGCACATTTGTTCTAGGCTGAACAAACTTAATTTTCCAGCATTTCACGTTTCACCCGTTGGTTTTTTTTTAGACCTGTGATCACTCTCACCCTTTCTTTTTGGAGAAAATCTAAACTGTATCTTCCTTTGCAGCATGGTGTATTTTAACTAAGACTTGCCCGCTCAGTAAAAAAGTTCAGTAAGATGTCAAAGTGAAATTTGCTGTGTACTTCTCACTACTGCTCTCTATCTGAAAATCTGTTTGGTTTTGGGTTTCCCCTTGCCTTTACTGAGTAGCCTGCTTCTTATTTCTCTGTCCACACCCACCTTCTGGACTACTTTTCTACTTCCAGGTCATTTTGTATTTCAATTTTGTAAATTTCCAAAGGCTTTTATGTGGGATCCATTTAAAAAAATTTCCCTCTGAAAATGGCAGATGCAAAATCACGCCTACTATAATGAAGCAAAATTATAATTCACTCAGCTAAATCAAGCATATCTGTCATCTTTAACATCTAATCCTAACTGTGGTCTGTTTATCCAGTCCCATTTCCCCTCCTCATTCATTGAGGGTTGCTGCAATGTCCATGCTGAATGATGGAAGGTCTCCTACTGCATTTTTGTGGTCATCTAAAACTTCAAATGTCATTAAAGTGATGACCAAATATGGATTTTGCCTGCAGTCAGTCTTTAATCACCCTTTTAGGTGCTGCAAAGTTTATTTAACCCCATTTACCCTGAGACTAATAACAGAAACTTGAAAAGTGAAAACATAAGTTCAGACTCTGTAGATTTACTCTGTGCTTACTGAAACTATGGCCTTCTAAACAACAGCCCATGAAAGAAGGAGAAAGCAAAGTGTGCTGTGTCTTTTTACATAAGTTAGCTTCAGGATGCTGGTGTTTGAAGCAAACCTGATGACCTGTTGTGGGAAGACAGAGTGCAAAAAACAGCATCACCAGTTTGGATTCTGGAAGGCAACCAGATGAAGTGTTGTTCATAAGCCACAGATGAGCTTAGCATTTCCTAGTATGGTGCAATCCATCCCTATACCAGCTGTAGGTTTTAGGAAAAGGTCTTTGGTGCTTCCTGACAGCATACTGATGGCTCTGTGCCACAGCTGTCTGAGCAGAGGATTTCAAGGACCTGGTGGAACATTTCTTGGATCAAAATGTACCTGTTTTCCAGGCTAGATTAAAAAGCTCTTTGCTCTGTCCTTCATCTTTTCATTCGTGCAAGTGAGACACTGGCTACTCCGAGCAACCTAGGGAAGATTCAGAAAAAAGCTCCTCAAGTAAAGAAACCTTTCCGGTACAGTCCCCAAACCAGATGGGAATCAGCTGTTCGAGGGCAACCTTTCTAGACCATGTAATAAAGGAATATTGAGTCCTATTCATGGCCTCAGCTAACAAATAGGTAGCATGGTGTGTAGCAAAACTCCTGAAGTAACCTCCCCACACCCACCTTACATTACATTCACAGCCCACTTGCTGTGCAGAGGAGCTTTTCAGGGTGACTACAGAGAGTAACTGCAGCTCTGTGGCACCCTTTTGTTGTGGGCAGGTCATGATTTGAAGCTGTCAAGGTACAAATATCAGGCAGTGCAAAAGGGCTTGCAGAGACGTGTAGTTAGAGTTAGTGTCACAGTGATAATGGAAGAATCTGAACAGGAAAGAGAAGTTCCCAGCTGTGACAGAGAAATGAAGGCACACACTTGTCCATTAGCAACTCCCCCTGTACTTCATCTGCATATTATAGCCATGTGAGCTATTAATTCCACTGTGATTTAGATTCCCATGAAACTTGGGAGTCATAATATTAATTTTATCTGACCAGTCATTTTAAAATATTTTAGGAGTTACTCTTTACAACCTGTATACAGCATTCTGTAGTCTCCTGTGCAGAGCATCAGTATTACTCTGCCCCTTTCACAGCTTCCTGTAACATATGCTTTCTGGGTTTAGTTCCTGACTTTCAACAGTGATGGAAGAAAGATTCTGATTAGGTGTCTTCTTGACAAAGTTGCTTTATATTGCCAAGCAATGCGACTGTAGTAAGGTCAGAGAGGAACCACCACGTGTTTGAATGATGTAACTGCTGTCTGAAATACCTGCACTTGGTGTTTATTGGAACAGTACTCTGTTAAGCTCACCTTGGAGAATCGAGGAATGTGCCCATGTATGTTTTCTTCTGCCTGATTGCTGTGGCAGTAATTAGCCTTTTTTGGTTCTTAGACCTCTGGTCATTAGCTATTTCTGATCATTTGAGAAGTGAGTGCTGCCCAGAAGAACTTCAAGGCAACTTCCCCTTAAAAAAAATAAAAGTAATCGCTTGTTTTTTTTCTCCTCTATCCATCTGTAGTAATACATTAAGTTTAAAAAAAGTTATAGATACTTTTGTAGCAAAATATATTCTGTAACCCCACATTTGGTTGAGACAGTTTTTCACTCAAAAAAACCCAATCATAATATACAAGAAGGTCTCTTGAGGACACAAGAATAATAGAACAGGAATCCATGAATTATGGTGAAAATATCTGCCAACTTGGCCACAGGTGCTTTAAAAAAAGATTCTTGAAAATCTAAGATCCTATTTTCATGACATCCTATTTTCAGAACCAGAACTCCTAGTTCTTCAGCAGTTGCAGCAGGGCACTTAGCCAATATGATGAACTCTTGCTGAAATACACTGTCCCCTGCCCCCAGACACACATTCCAGTTTCCTCTTTTGTCAGCAATGAGAGTCACAGAGTGAATCTCATCCGCTTGTTGATCCAACAGACACCTCCTCCTGAGGGTGTAAGATGACCAGGTGCAATAGAAAGCAGCTTTGGACAGAGGCGCTGGATCCAGTCCTCCTAGCAGCTCTCACACAAGATCAAGGATGTAGCTTCACATCCTGCTTCATGTTCTTCATTAACCTGCAGTGTACTTCCGTGGCTATTGAACATCATAAGCTGTGGTCTTCCGTCTGTCAGGAATCCCTTGTAGTGTAGCTGTTGTGATGTGGCAGCTCAGGAGGGATCATGCTGCCACGAACAGCAGCTTTCCTCTTTCTTCACAGCTCACTAGTGCCATGGTCCTTGAAATAACCTTTTAAAAGAAGATAAAATACAATATTCAGTTGTAAGGGAAGAAGGAACTGTGATCATTGCCAACTATCAGATTTCTTGTGTGAGGACACAAGAGACCAACTCTCAAACAAGTGGCAAGTGGTAGGACTTAACTGCCTGTGGTGCTGCTCCTGTGGAAAGGGGCCTCCTTTTAGTTTAGAATGGCAGAGAGCAATTAGGGCTGGTTTAAAATTGGAATTTATTTTCCCAGTGCCAGCCCTTCACTTTTAGCACTGCATGGATATGATTATGGACTCTGTGCCAAAATGTCTTCATTAGTGTCCTGCACAGTTGTTTGGAGCAAACTCCACTGATAAAGAACCAGGTATTTACTTATCTTTTGCAGTTTATAGCCTGATTTGTTTCAGAGAGGTGCAGAAGAAGGCAGAGCACCAACAAATGTCAAAGGCACAAGTGCTGCTGGTAAAAACTGCTGGACAAGCCCCCTCCACTCTGCTCTGAGAAATGCTGTCCTGTTTGCCCCACAGGCAACCAGCCAAAAACTAGCTGCTGAACACACAGATAGTTCGACTCTCTTCCAGAGTAGGCACACAGGCTACTCTAGCCCCAAACTTCTTTTCAGGCCATGTGGCAAGCTGAAGCCATTCATTCTTTTCTGCAGCTGCTTTACAATACAAAAGGAACTTTATTATGGATTTTACTCCATACTAACAGAAAGAGAGTTGAATTCCCTTAGCCAGTTTTTGGGTATACTGAATGCATCACTGGTTTGTAAAGGAAGCTGATTATTTTGATATAATATCACCTAATCCATCAAGCAAGAAAAAGGCACTGGGGTTTTACATGCTGCCCTAAGAAACAATTATTATCCTTGATTATTTTAACTTTCTCCAGTAAAGCACTTTTAACAACATTTTCTCTATTTAAAAATCAATGCCATAGTCCAGTGGCAAAGAAGGAAATTATTCCAGTGGCTCACCTAGTTCCCTGGGCTTGCTTAGTCATTGCAGTGTCTAGGTGCTGTGTCTGACCATAAAGAAAATGCTTATGATAGGTTTAATTTATGAGATTGCCTTTGAAAAGCTTCTGTGATGTTTTCTGGAGGTCAAAACCAAGGCCACCATTCAAATTCTACTTTAAACTTGTACTGATTCCTTCATCAAGTTCTACTGCAAGGAGAACTTTTTAGGCCACTGGCAGATGAGCACTGGTATATCTGACTGTGTTTCCTCTCCTCATCTGTCTACTGGAGGCTCTCCTACCTGCCATGCCTGAGCTCCTCCAGCTCACAGTCTTGCCTCTCAGCTCCAAAGCACCTCCAGCAGGGGCTAAGCTGACACTCTGGGCTTTCTCCTAGAATAGCAAAGGTGCTGGCACATGCTCCTTTGGGTAACTGCTCTGTGGCTCTGACCAACAGAAGATGCAACCCCTCTCTTACCTTGGGCTGCGCAGCAGCAAAAGGGATTCCAGTTTTTCTTTCAAAGAGCTTGCAGTTTTACACAACGGTGGTCACAAAATTCTGGAGACTTCTGAAGCCTTTAATGTATAGCACCAACAAAGGCAAAAATCTCTCTAATGTATGATCACAGACTTTTAAAAGAAAGGGGTTTGTTTGGCTTTGTGCTAACTTACCACTTAAAACTTACTGAATTTATGTTAGTAAAGTGGCAAAATGATGTCCTGTATTAACAGCAATGCTTACCGAGAGTACCTCCTTTAGTTTAACTTTATTTTTGTTAAGAGGAGGAAGCGAGTCGTTCTGAGGGATTAGTTAATAGTGAAAGAATGATTTTTTTTTTACTCTTCTTTAGATAAATATCTAGGGATCACAATTTTTTTAATTGTATCTGAGGATGTTGGATGTATTTCTGAACTTCATACAGAGGTTTCACTGCTGTTTCAACATCAATCTTTAATTCCCTATTTACAGCAAGTGCTGATTTCCCATACAACGGTCAAGCTATAGGAGATGGAGTTAACAGAAACTCTGCTATTATTGGAGGTAAGAAAACCATCTACTTTTCTAATATACTTTGCAGTATGGCTCTGGTGGCTGAATTGCTGTTGGTAACATATTCAAGTTATTTGCTAAGAGGTGACTATGTGGGGAAACAACACCTGAACAAAGATAAACAATTTTTGTGTAAGTCTGTTCAAACACATTGTCCGAGTGAATAGTTTGTTCTTAGTTTGTCCCCTCAGATTCAGTTTTAAACAAATTAAAATACTGATATTCATGATCCACGTATTAAGCATCCATGTGGGGATCTACTTTGTAGTAGTTACTTACGTTAACAGAGTAATTGATTTATATGAAATAGCAAGGATACTTTTCCAGATACAGCAGAATCAACAGGAATCTATGTCAAACACTGTTTGCTCTGCCCTTGACAAAAATCCCTCGTGATCCTGCATTCTTTTTTAGGGCCCAAGTTCTACCATAACTTATGTGCCAGAGATTCCCATTCACTGTTATAGGTGATATTAAGCAATACCAGAATTGGATCTTTGAATAAGCATTCCATTGAAAATATTCTGGATGGCTGCTGCTTGAAATAAGAGTCTTGTTTAATTTTATGCACATGTGCAATTTGCTCTGTCCTGTCCCATAGTGTGGAAGTGCTGCACTGTAACTATCCTGGGAAAACTTTGCCACTTCATCCAATTCTGAAGGCATATATTAAAAAAAAAAAAAAATTAAAGATCAGTCTACTAGCTTTCAGTCAGTTCTAAATACGTATAAAATTATATACTGATGGTGGGTTTTGCCACGTAAGGAAACACTGAGTATAGTACTACAAACAGTCTAGTAAAATTTCTTGATTCTTTTCCATGGCCCCCTCAAGAGTCTATGTTTCCATATCCAGGTTTAGATTAGTTGCTTTAGTTTTGATTTGCTATGTCATTTTTCCTTTCTAATTTGTATTTTGATTATTACTTTTAAATTTTCCTTAATACTTTGAAACTTCACAATACCAGAAGGATACTATTGCATTCCTCAGAAAAATTCAGGCCACACCTGAACAGCCTGTTTGTCCAATGCATCAGTTAACATAAAGTGGCGTAACATAATTCCAGCTGATTACAGTATTTTTTTTTAACCTGACAGTTTTATAATATCTTCATCCTTGAAGTTTTTCATGCCTGTAGAGAAGGGCCAAAAAAGAGACAGTGTAGTTTTATCACATAGATACCTAACAGCATAACATTCATGAGATTTCTCCATAACAGGGTTGAACCCCAAATAGACCATTGCAGGGAGAGCAATTAAGGGTAGAGCAGATGATAAAGCAGTTACATCTGCAATTATGTGGAGCCAGTGCCTAGAGTGAGACAACAGTGAGTCAAGCCAATTTTCAGGACATCTTGAGGAATTCTAATAGGTCTTTACAGCCATTGACTAGAAAGTGTACATCAGTGACTCATCTTCAAAGAGTTGCCCTGGCTGTGACACATCACCATTTCATCCCACTGATTTGGGAGCACTCAGCACCCTCTGCCTCATGGTCAGCAAAGCTCAGATCTGTAAGTGGGTATTAATGTTGAAGTTTACCTACAGGATGAAAGTCACTAGCAGACTTCATTGAGTAACATTTTGCATACAGCAAAATCTATGTATAAATATTAGAGCAGTGGAAACCAAGCAACTGTGGTGATGCCTAACTGCCCAAGTTTTGGGATCATTTCTTTGTGTCAAAATCTGTAGCTGGTCTCACCAGCATGGTCTTTTCTTTCCTGCTGTGTGTAGGCGTCATCGCAGTGGTGATCTTCACCATCCTCTGCACCTTGGTGTTCCTGATCCGCTACATGTTTCGCCACAAGGGAACCTATCACACCAACGAAGCCAAAGGGGCAGAGTCAGCTGAGAGCGCCGATGCTGCCATCATGAACAATGACCCCAACTTCACGGAGACCATAGACGAGAGCAAGAAGGAATGGCTCATCTAAGCCTATGGGGATGGGGCCTGGGGTGGGATATGAGCTGGGCCAGGGTGGGACTGGGATGACTCTTGCAGTGGAGAGAGAACACTGTGTGTTGGACGCTTGAGCACACATAGGGTAAAAAGATCAGCACAACTGGTGAAGCAAGTGACAGGAAAATACCACTGAGACTGGAGAAAAAAAAATAATATCTCAAGCATTTAAGAAAAAATATTTTTTAATATTTATTTACAGCAACTTGCCCCTTCTGTATCCAAACGACTACAACAAAGAGCAGTTTTGCAGCTTCAGCACTGGTTAAAATTTTCAGTAATACCTGTCTATTTCTGTGTGTGTTTAGAGATGTTCTGGGTACTTGTGACAAGAAACGGGACTGGTTTTTTATATTTTTTAAAAGCTGTTTAAAATGTGGGTAGTTCTGTCCTGAGAGCAAGTGGCAGCCCTTTTTTTTCAGCATTGTGTTCCTTCATGGCTGGCCACTTTCCCACATGCTGCCCTCAGTCCCATACCTTGACCATAACACCATTCATTTTAGTGGTGTTGATCTGGGAGTTCAGGGCTGGGGGTGGAACTGGGTCATGAGGACTAATGCAAATCTTACTCCCTAGTTTCTCAACATGTCATCAGCCCACGTCAGCCCTGGCACGATCCACCTTCTTGATCCAGGCACTTTGTGGATTGCGTGCAATTCTCATCAACAATGTAAAAATACTGTTATTACAACTACTGTTACTACTAGAGAGGACGACCATAAAGCACAGGAAGTTTTAGGGTTTTTTTTTTATTATTACTTTTTTGGTCTCTGAGGGAGGATGATGCTGTGTGAGTCTGTAGACCTAATCTGTTCCTGTGTCTTTGGCTGTGGCACTGGTGACCTGAGGGATGTGCCAGTTAAACTCGGCTCTGCCAGTGGCATTTTGGCATATGCTGTACATTGTAGTAGGGAATTAGAACCAGACTTCGCTTCTGTTTCTTCTTAATAGACTGTCATAGAATTATTAGTGTAGGTCTAGTCAATGCATTTGAACACACAGGCTTCACGTCATACTTTTTTCCCAACTCAAGAGTAGCAATTTATTCCTTAAATCCCTTGTTTCAGTCCCTTTGCAAGGAAAGCCTCTGCTGCAGTGTTTGCACAGCCAGGAAGGTGAGGCAAAGGAGACTTGGAAACTCTGTCCCCAGAGCACATAAGAAATACTCAGCACACAGGGAAGACTTATTTTTCAACACAGAGATTTACCTGAACTATTTTACTGTCTTTGTAAGGCATTTTTAAGACTAGCAATGCCAAGTGCAGCATTGCATCCCGTTTTCCCTCTCAGACCACAGAAGTTGCAGGTGTTGCCTGAGCAGTAGGCAGGCAGCTAGTAGGAAAGGCAAAGGGGCAGCCTGAAGACCTAGTATCCTTTGGTGGCAATAACAAAGCTTTAGCTTGCCCTCTGTAGAGGAGAGTGGTTCTCCTGTAGTCTGAAGGAATGTAAGGCCTTAATGGGCAGGTTTTGCAGTGGAACAGAATGAAGGAATGAATACACTGCAGGACAACTGCCATGTGTTAAAGGAACAGAAATAATACCAAGAATTTCCCCTTAAAAGTTTTTATGCTTGTGACAGTCCTAGATTTGCTTTAGCTTTAATATGGCTGGGTTTAGTATGCACAGATTTAACCCATTTTTCTGTACAAGAAGGATTTATTTTTCACCTAAATGTGCAATCTACTACACTTTCATTATTCTAGTTGATGCTTCAAAACAAAAAAAAAAAAAAAAAAGAGAAAAAAATTACATAGGGGGAAGAAAATATTGGAGTCTTACCAGACAAGAAATTGACAAGCACAATTTGGCAGACAGACAAGGCCAAATAGTTTGGGTTTTAAGGCTGGTAGACTAAAGTCCTCTTCTGGATTCACTCAACATAGATATGAGCCAATCAAACTCATTAATTTCTTCCATTTATGAATTTGGAATTAGCATACAAAGAAGTTGCCAGTTTCAAAAGAAACTACTGTTTCTCAGGTAACATGTGGCAGAGAGGTTCAGGTAGGCATAAAAATTACCTCTGTCACTCTTGTGCTCTGCAGTGTTTTGCCTTGCCTCCAGTATTAACCTCTCCCTCTTTTGTCTGTAATCAAGCAGGTGAGTCCTTATTCTTGTTTAATCATGGGTGTAAGATAAGTCTTCACTCCTTGGAGAATATCAGCAGGGCATGAATCTACCTTGCACCACTATTCAGCAAACTACGTAGCAATCACGTGTCTTTGTAGAATTGAAAAGGCATTATCTTTTCTATATTGCTTTATATTTAATTTGATTTTAGTGGTATTTTAGTCCACTCTGTAAAACATCCTTGCCTGCAACTTCAAGTTACCAAGAGAAGTGAATAGAGTTTGCATAGATTGGGATTTGGTTTGAAGTTTCCTTTTTTGACATGTGAAATTCATTAGTGCTGTGTTTAAATGTTGATAATCTTCACTCTTGTCTTATTTTCGTGATGCAGTCACTTTCATGACTCTAGAAGCTTTTAATTATTAGAATTCTTGTTTCTTCTTAAACTGGACCTTAGACATGATATTATCCATTAGCAGCTGGTCTCTGTATAGGCATTTGGTGACTTTAGGTGAATTTCTGCCTGTCTGCTTTGTATTTCTTTTCTGAGAATGGCATGTGTTTAATTATAGGCAGACATTCCGCAGCCTGGCAGTGAAGCAGGAGCAGGCTCAGAGAAGTAGCCTGTGTATTTTGCTAGCACTATATCTATTCTGAGGATTTCTTCCTCTGCAAGCCTATCACTAAAGGCTGAAAAAACATCCACAGTTTATTTCACCCACTCTTACTTGTGCCAAAAATCCATGTTGTTTAACAGGTGCTACCCTTACACCTGTAGTGGGAAAATCTGTTGGAGGGGAGAGTGGGTCCTGCTTTTATAAAACTCTGTACTTTCCCCAAAGAATATTAAAATAATCGGTCTTTTATTACCAATTTTTTAGCTGTTTCACCTATTTGAACTGTGCAGAAAAATGTAGCTTCTCGTACTTGTTTGGGAACCGAAGTGTCCCAGTTGTGTTTCTAAAATGTTCACTGCTGATTCCACAGGAAACGGTGACAAAACTGCTGCCAGCAGTGGAGAGAGCAAGATTGGGCTGGAGATTAGGGCTCTCAGTGTTAGTGAAATAATGTAAGCAATATTTTGGATTCTCATTCGCAGCACATGCAGACCACAAGGTAATGAGACATGGAGCTGGAACAGTGGAGAACTTATTTTCATGTCAACCCAGCCTCAAGGGAAATCTGCAATACAGTCTGGTGGTTTTGAATCAAGCCTTTCGCACACTACTTATTCCATATTTACTGATAGAAAATTCAGATGTATTAAATAGGCATATGTATCTTAAATTGGTACTGTAGCATTTCTGCTTTGTATTTTTTGTGTCTTAAATGATATCTGTACCTTTTATATCTCTTCCAGCAGTTACCACTTCAAAGGTATGGCAGCATTTTAATATCATGCTCTAGGTAGCATGATAAATGTGAAAGAATAGTCATCATAAATAATTTAGTAAGACTGCTGAAGCAGTGGTGTATACATATAAGTTTATTGTACCGATAAAAATTCAGTATAATTAAAACAGTGTCCTTTAACGACAGGTGCATGTAATTTCCAGGATATCTGTTGAAATGTGAAGCTATCCCAGTTTGACAAGCAATAGCTTTTAATATGGTTTCTCCCATGAATGATTTTACATTCCATCAAGCATGGTCATCCTGAAAGGGTGTCATTTTTTAAAAGCGGAATCTAAATTACATTAATCAGATGTCATTTTCCATCCTAGAGAAATTAAAGAAACCTTGCCTTCTAAAAGCAAGAGCATGTAAATTAGAATGAAAGAAGGACAACGTGTTTGTATGCATTATATCTTCCGTGAATGTCTTTCCTTTTAACTAAAGTTCTATTAGAAACCAGATTAATAAATAATGAAGGGGGGGCGAACAACATTTTAAATTGTTTTAATCACCTAACAGCTGTTTCCTCATGCTTTGTATATTCTGGTCATTGTCTGAACTTTTTCCTTCTCTAGTACCAGGAAATCAATTTGGAAAGGACAGAAGTTGAAAAGGCCTCTTGAAAAAAGGCCCACAGTACATGAAAAAAGGGACTTCAGAATGCAGTTATACATAAGAAGAGAGGGTGCTAAAACTAGGGAAGATTTATTGAAGTAATATGTTCCACATGTTATGGAGTGTACATCTGTACTTGTTGAGGTGGGCTGAGGGTCTGAGAGCAGGGTTTGGATGGAAATTAAATGACTGCCTTTCTGCATTTATCCATTTCTGATCACTTTGCAGATAGCAGCAAGCAGTCTGCTATCTGTTCTGGTCACGTTTGTTATTGCAGATTCTGTGGCATTGCCAGCTTCACAAGGGTTACATACCACAAGTGACTGAGTGTGGGTTGTTTGCCTTCCTTTCCTACCTTAACTCTGTCCTTTCCTTTATGAATGAAAGCCTTTTATTGAAATCAACAAGAAAAATGTATGCCCGGCTCAACAGACTTGTGTCTGTTCCTTTTAATAAACTACCTTATCAGGCTTTAAAACATTTTTATGACATGAAGCATTTTATAAAAGAACTATGTTAAATGCACTTGAATGGGAGAGTGTGAAATCTAGGCAAAGAAGCATCAGTGCAACAACCACCTGAGTCAGAGTGCTTGTCCCACGCTGTTTCTCTGTCTACAGTGTGAATTGCCTTAACTACCCATCAAATCTCTGGATCTGTCCAAGACCTTAACTTACTTTGTGGAATATAATAGTGGCAAAGTCCTGATGTGATACCACGTTTTGACTATTCATTTGTACTGACTGCTGTAACCCCTAGAAAGAGAACCACACTTTATACAGGAATATTTTTCATTTATAGAGAAAAGCTCTAGAACAAAGAGATGAGGGTGAAGGTTCAAGTGTAAAGTGATACTCGAACACTGTGACACGAAGTCTTTGCTTCTTGCTGTCACTGCAGGCAGAAGTGTGTGGGTGCGCACACGCACCTCTAAAATCTAAGACTATTCAGGATGTGATGTCTGCACCACTCAGATAATTACTGCCATAATGTGGGTGGATGAGATACCAAACTTGCTTCAAATCCATGAGTCTGCAGTGCTAGCAAAATCATTTACTCTTGAAATTAAGTGCAATTTTGAAGATAAACTCAGACTGTGCCCTACAGTAGCAGGCACATATGGTGCCTCAAATGAGACAAGATTTGGACCTGGTTATGGAAAAGCATATATTTGGCAATCTGCAACACAGTTCTTTTAACTCTGACTTTCACATATTAACAGACATATTCTTGATACACTGTGCTCAAAACCCTGCTTATGCCAACAGCTTAAGAACCAGGAAGAAAAGTTACCAATCTGTAGCTTCTTTACCCAAGAAGTCTTTTTAAAAAGGCATTTAATGTAAAAAAAAAAAAAAGAAAAGAAAAGTTTGGTATCAGTGGGGGTTCTTTCACTGAGAATTATTTCTTCTCACTGGTTTTCTATTTTTAAAATATCATATGAGAAATGTTAAGCAATTTTTAAGCACAACCTGAACTGCTTCTGTGAAAAAGGGGTAAGATATACTCTGCAAATATACATATAAGCAAGTAACTAATTTAGTGCATTCCATTTCTTCTGTGATGCAGCAACTTCCAATAATGTTTACACGTGCTCCCTCTGCTATTTTTTCCTTAATGGAAAAGCATCTGAATTAAACAACAAACATAAAAGTGTGTACCCTTTACTTTGCCATAGATTAATGGTCTTGCTTGGTATGTAACAGAGCATTAAGGAAGAGCAAATGGTTTATTCCTCAGATTTAATAGCATTAGTTCTGCTGTCTCCAAGGGTCAGAGATATACTATCACCACATTAATTATTAGCATTTATAGGTACTTATACTGATAATATTCAACAACTGGTATTCTGTATTCTAGCAAAGAGCTGCTCTAAGAAATTCTAATTTATTGAAAAGGCAGATAGATGTAAAAAAAAAAGTAAATTACTGGAACAAGACTAGAGCAGAAGCCATTTGAGGGAAATATTTAGAATGCAGAACAATAAACTGTACCAAAAAGAGTTTCTTGTCTTCCAGTTAAGGATTTGGGATAGGTACAGGGCTGCAGTTCGTTATATATTACCATGTGTTCATTGCCTTTTTGGCCAAAATATTTGAGCTTCTCCCATCTTTCACATGCTTTAAAACAGGCTGTTGCAAGAATACAGCTGAAGATGTGAAACTTAAGCAGGATGCTCTAGGCTGCTGGTGAGAGCACAGTTGCAAGTTCCAAGCTCTTCTACCTGTGGTCCTGTCTTTGCTTAGAAGAAAATTCTCAGATATGTTGCTGCCTGTCCCTGTCTGTTGTCATCTTTCCCCCATCTTAAGAATGTCACAGGTTGAAAGGGACCACAAAAGACCTTCTAGCCCAACTTTTTGTGGGAAAGGGAACCTAAATGAGATAACCTAGCACCCTGTCCAGTCGTGTTTTTTCCCCCACTGACTCCATTTTCAGGGTGATATGTTATCAACAGGCTCTCATTTAAGACAGACCGAGAGTCACTTGAGCAAGTCAACAAACTCCTGAATCATCCAGAAAACAAATCATTTAGATGACAAGGTAGCCATCCCCTGAATACTAATGTTTATTCTCTAAACTGCACATTCTCACGCTTACGGTGCGTGTGTCACCAAAGGAGTCTAACCTTGGCACAGTCAATAAATCATTCACAAGCTGAACAAATAGCCCTATACTACTTTGTCTTAAAAAAAACTCCTTTGGGTAAATGTTTAAAAATACATGTGTGGTGGGACCCCTGGTGGCCTAGTGGTTAGCATGCAGGACTCTCACTGCTGTGACCCAGGTTCAAATCCCAGGCCCCCCGGGCAGATGGAGCTCGTTAGCCCTGTGAGGCCATCCACTTATGAGAAGGTCATCTAAACAAACCTACGTCCTGAGGACCTCACTGCCATTGTCCAAGCTTGCTTGGCCCCGGCAGATGAACCTTAGGATTAAAGGGTGGGCTCAGTTCAGCGCAAGCTGTGTCTCACCTAAAAAATCCATTGCGCAGGCTGGAAAGGTAAAAGACCTTTCCCAAAATCTTCGTTCGCGAAGACTGGCCATTATTATTACATGTATGGTTTGCCAACATAAAGCACTGAACATAGTATCAGCAGTTAATTGTAATTTATTTCTGTTACAAAATCAAGGTGCATCTGCAGAGTTTTCTTGTGTGACTTGCACTCACAGGACCTTTATCCTTGAAACAGAAACTACTGCAACAGGGCAAGGTAACAAAGAGAAATTCCCTTTGCTGTGCACTTTGAAATGCAGCGTAAAGTCCCTTTCATTGCACAGTTCTGGTACAGGTGTAAGATCTCTGTACATATCTAATGTTTCCTTTTTTCCAAACTCCACTACCCACTACTCCAAGGAAAGAAATTTGTTGACAGTCTTAGGTTTTTTTCCCATCTCTTTCTCTACTTTAGAAGTGTTTCCTCTAACTGATAAGTTTATCACCTTTCATCTTTAAACTCCTTCCCAGCAGTGCTTGCTGCTTTGGCCATGGTGAAGCCTTCCACCTTCCCAAAATGTGACCATTGTAGTGGGAGGGTTATATACCACTACATTCCTGTCATCTTTTATATTTGGAGCTGGTTTTTATCTGTTCATAGTACTCAGTGACTTAAGGTACAAGGGTGGTACAAGCACTGATGGTTTCTGCCATCTGCAGCATTATTTTATAACTTGTTTGTATTTTTTCCAAAATCACAGCACTGAAAATGAGGCAGCTGCACCTCATTCCATTAAGCATACTTATTTTCTATTTCTTAGTTCAAATTTTCCCAAGAGATAATAAAATATCCCAAGATAATAAAATTAATGTCAAGCAAAAGCCAGCATCTATTTTCCTTAGGGCCACAGGATGTCAGAATTAGCTCTCAGCCATCCCCTTCCCATGTGCTTTTGTAGCAGCTATACAAGACCACTGGTAGTCTCCAAATTAGGACACAAAAAATGACATTCTAAAAGCCTCAATTAGTTTTAGTCTCTTGGAGTGTTAAAGGTCCAGTTTAACAGGGTCAACAGGTCAATACTCATACAGGTTTCAGTTATGAGTACATCCAAGAAAATTCTCAACATTAGTTGTTAAATAGTTTTATTTTCATTGGATCAGCATCTTGGAGAGGGGGAAAAAAATTTTTCTGTGTTTGGAAACCTGAGATTACACTCACCCCATTGCAACTCCTGCATTGTGTCTGATCTTCTGAAGCTCTAACTGCTTTAGGGATCAGAGCCACTTGAACAAAGACTAAGGCATCAGTTGATTCCCACTAACTCTGAAACACTTTCCATAGATCTGCTTTACATATCAGTCTCAGTCATACGCGAGCAATGAGGATCTTTTCTTTTTCTCTGCTCTTCAGTGGATCAAGACCCATCAGTGGGCTGGCTGGGCAGGTGTCACACAAATTGTCTTCAGTCCTAGTGAACTGACTCACACGTTGAACAGCCTGAGTCCAGGGAGTTCCTCTGGCACAATGTTCCTGAAAGGCTTCAGCTCCCCAGAAACTCTGCTATCCTGTTTGACTAGTGTTAATTAACAGAAGCCTGATGGAAATTATCTGTACTGACTTAATCCTCCATGTGGATGCCAACCACTAAGACTGCGTAATTTTGTGGAAATTAAATAGATTCCCAACCCCCCCCCCCATTATGAAATGCTTGGAGTGTGCTCTGTCTGACACTTCTTACTGACATATATAAATAGAGATATAGAGATAAATAGATATTTTTATGGAGATGTTTTATAAGTGGCCTTTACTTTGTGCATGGTAATTATTGCCAAACTTGTTATTTAGGAGATACAGAAATGGCTGGTTCTGCAGTTCAGAAAGCAATCAGCTGTCTCTATTGCTAGGGAGACTTGGGGTACAGGCTTGGATTTGGATTTTTATTATTCAATTATGATTTGCATGGTTTGGATTTGGGTTTTGTCCCAGTGTCTTTTTTTCTTTCCTCATTGGTTCTCTGGCAGGGACACACTGGGCTCAAGCAGGAACTTCTCAATCTTTGAGAGATGGATTGAAGCCATCAGTGCCATATAACACTTCAGAAACACCTGCCTTGTATAGCCCGTGATGTTGATCAGTGTGAGGTCCTCAGAACACAGCTATTGGGGTTTTCACAGCATAGTGAGATGCTCCTATTTCTCTATCTTTGCTTGACAAGATAGTAAGCTAGAAACAGTTGGTCCGTGGGTATAGCCTTGTGAGTAGAAAAAAGGATCAGCAGAGAGCAGGACACGAATGAGGGCTCAGAATTAGATTGGTATACATAGCAGCAACAAGAGACTGTGAAAATTGCTACTGAGGCAGGTCATTTTACTTCCTCTCTTCTTTTACTCCCCCTTTATTTTTTTTAAGTACTGTTTGTATGCTACGTCTGAGTAATACGTCTCTACCAGCCAGATAGCTCTCATTAACCTGGGCTGTTGGTTAGAGATAGAAATGCAATTGTCCTTTCTTACTGATCTCATTCCTGCTGCTGTG